CAAACCCATTCTTCTAAGTCACCCCAAGGCCGCCCCTGCTCCTTCCCAGACTTCTTTAGTGGTGGACACCTGTGTGTGTGCACAAGCAGGTGGTGGAGGCGCCTGGCCCTCCATGTTCGCACACAGCCCGCCCGGAGTTTTTAGCGTGTCAGTCAGTGAGTTAGAGGGAAAGGGGCAGGGGAGCTAATCAGGATGAAATGAGATTAAAGGCTGTCTAATTTTATAAAAACTGTGATCCATCAGCCACTGTGAAAGTGACAGTGGAAATGAATGATGGAGACAGACAGGTGGGGCTGTACATTCCACTGATTTATCCTCAAATGCACTGGGCCTTATTTTATTGAGTGAACACGACCGCATTTATCAAGCCTGTCATCTAAAGCCACTTCCCTCCATTTAAAAAGGTCACTTTACTCGGAGGGAGCAGGAGAGAGGCACTTTCAAATCAGATTTAAAATCGAATAACACATGTTTATAAGGCCCTTCACGAGGAGTCTCAACTTTATCTCACACAAACGAGTCATGCTAGAAGGAAAAATGGAGTAGAAGCCAGAAAAATCACGTAAGAAAATGCTCCGGCCAGCCGAGGGAGCACTTCAAAGGGTCTCTATATCTGAAGCAGTTTATACCTTTTTTTCCCCATGTCAAGCACCTGAAGTTCTATTCTGATCAGAGAAATTTAATAAAACATTTGCTGATATTTAATATTTTAAATTAAACAAATAGAAAGCATCAGGGCCATACTATGAACTTGTCAACTTGGAGAGAGCTAGTCACAGTATTGACCCTGCAGAATGACTGATCATCAGAGGTAAAACAGATGTCAGCAATTGCTACAAGCTGGATCTCTGCTACAACGAACTCCTATACCTGTTAATTGTTTTCCCATGATTTTAAAGCCTTATAAATCTTAGCCACCCAGTATTCCCCCTCCCTGGACCATTGCAATAAAATGCTTCAGGATGCTGTGCACAAAATTGTACTTGGTTGGAAAGTGAGTGCTGTACCCTCATTGTGTAATGTATTCCTTTCGTTATTATAACCACTGACCATGTACCACGTGTTAAATTGGATACATAATGATGTTTGTGTGTTTACTGGCATTATACCTCTGAAAATATCTGTGCTTAGCTCTTGATATTCATTTTTCTCCATTTAGGCAAAAAAATTCAGATGTGTTGAGTGATTCATGATACTCTAGTGTATGGTAAAAATACACAATGAAACAGATAATGTCTCTACCTATATCTGTTTGCATGTTTTATTTTAGAAGTTTAGCTGTGAATCAGACATTACTCTGCTGCCTTCTTTCTAAGAGAAACACTGAAGCCTTGGGAGGTTAAGTCACTTGTTGAAGGTCATACTCAGCTAATGAATACCACAGCTCTACTTCAAACATGGGAATGTCTGGACCCCGACCCACACTCTTCTGCATTTCACTCTACTGACTTTCAATAGGTGTGTTCAGCCAACCAGAAAATAATTACTGAGTACCTGAGTGTTCAATGATAGTGTCCCTGAAATTCATATATAATTTTTATACTGCATCATACTTTAAATGTGCTTATTACTTAGATGTTTAAAATGCAAGTGCTACTTTAAATTTTTCCCATACATACAAATATTAAAGAGACTTGTTTTCTTTAAGTTATTTTATTAGCATGTACAAACTGTAGAAAGTGAAGGGTTTCCTTATGATGTTTAATCCATGCACATAGTGTATTTTGATCCTATTCATGCCCTGTATTTTCTTTTTTGTTTTCTCTCTTCCCAGTTTTCCATTTGTATATCTTAAATAGCCCTCCTTTTACTTTTTTTTACTCAATTAAAGTAAATAACCTCCCTGTATTCCATATATGAGAGAAAACACATGACAGTTGTTTTGTGAGTCTAGCCTCTTTCCATTAACATAGAGATCTCTGCAAGTGACACAATTTGTTCTTTTTGAATGAATAAAACTCCACTGTGTATATATACTACATTTTCTTTATCTATTGTCTGCTGTTGGGTACCCAGGAGATTCTATGACTTGGCTATCATTTCGTCAGCAAATGCTGGTACAGGTGTCACTATTCCATGCTGCATTTGATGATTTGAGGGTGACTATCTGTAAGCAGTTGGATCTTGTGGATGATTTATGAATGAAGACCCTTTACTGACTTCATAGTGACTGGACTAAGCCACATCCTTCTCAGTGGTAAATAATTATCCCTTCCACAATCCCCATCCCTTAATCCTGGTGCCATCATCACGTTTGTTGTTTCTTATTTACTTGGTGACAGCCACTCTGA